TAAATTTATCTTTATAACCTTGTAACATCAAATTTTGATTTTTGGTACAAAGGCTACCTTAAGAGTTCATTATGAAACCAAGTTTAATTTTTATTACATATATTCAAGTTACATACATGATTTTAAAAGTATTCTGTTGATAGCCTAAACTAATCTTCAGTGTGGCCTATGTTCCCTCTGTATATGAGTTTTTTGGGGGGAGGAACCCCACATTGAATCAATAAAAACTTCTCCATTAACTTCAGATCGCAATAATTAGTATTTTTGTAAACAGTTAAAATAGCTAAGAAAAATCAAGATATTTTACTGAGGGGGGGAAAAAAAACCCTCTCCATCTATAAATTGTTCAACCCAAGTGTTCAGAACGTCACGGTTTCACACAAATTCCCTCTGTAAGTAGTGCTTATGTTACAAAACAGATGATGTCAACCAAATTACGAATTTTAATGGCTACTGTGAAATCGTCATGGTTGTGAATCTACCAGGCAGTACTATAATTTAAGTGCAACTGACCTAAGTTTAGCAGTTAGTTTGGAAACAGGTTGTAGATCAGCCAAATGAAGCTTTGTAAAACAAACCTCAGCAAAATGCCGTAGACATGCTGAAAACTTTTTTTAAATTATTAACACCTACTGTTTTAAGTTCTATGGTAACATAATAAAATACCAAAACACAAATAGAGGATGTAGGAGTCAAAGTAAAATCTACATAGCATGATGTTCTTTTAAACGACTGAAAGATAAATATCAAATAATTCCAAGGTCTTAATTAAAAAACAAACTTATCCATGTAAACAATAGTGCACCGTAAATTGACATGTGTTTGGGTGGTCTGTGACAGTCTGATACTTTTAATTAAATCTGTATTCCTCTTAAGGTAATCAGCATATTAAGTGCTATCACCAGTTATACTTAATACTATTTACACAGGCATTAGACATCATACAGAATAGATTTTTTTTTTAATGACAAACAAAAATTTCTTCAGATCCAAGTATATATTTTAAATATTCTTAATCAATGGAAATACAGAACTATTTGATTCCCTAGAAGTGTATATACATATACTATGAAAAACTTTTACATATTTTAAGACAGCTTTTCTGCAGTATTTTGGGAATTTATTTCAGGACTTCTATACATTTCCAGCCTTCTCAAATACATCAGAAAAATATTGGTGAGCTTATCATAAAAATACAATTCTACAAAAGGATTCAGCTTATTCCTTAACGCTGTGGTTCAAAAACAGGTGTAGCATACTTAACAGACATAATATATGAATAATCTCCTCACCTTAAGTGGGATGATTCACAAGCTTAACATTACATTCAAATTTAAGCATTCTGGGGAATCAAACCCTGACTCAACAATTAAATGCTGTAAATTACAAACTAATCTAAGATACCACTTTCAGACTGCGAGGCACTGTTAACCACAGACTTTCAGATCTCACTGCTGGGTTGTAACAGGATTTGATACTCTACTTCAAAAACACAGTTCCTCTACATTCCTTCTGCCTTTTAAGTCCCTACAATCCAACAGCCCATTTATTTTAACATCAGCACAAATTCCAAATGCCATTCTGGATTAGCACCCATATCCCTACCTGACTCGTTTCTCACATGCATCTTCTTGCTGCACACATTTTTTTGTTGAGAAAGGTAGGAAAAGTTGAAGTTACTCTTCATGTTACTCCATACGGATGACAATCCATAGCAAACAGGTGATCCTACCCTACTTCACAACAACAAACTACGCACAGATAATCTCTATTTTCTTTTTTTAAAGAAAAAGTTGTTACCGTTTTTGCACTGAAATGCTCCAGCCTTTACAATTTCCCAGGATCTTAAGATGTCAGCATGGATTTGTTATAAATTGCCTAAATGGGAGAATCTGTAACTTCCTAAATTATGTAGTTTATAAAATATGTCAGCTTCTGTCAGAGCCTGGAAAGTTCTTTTAAAGTGGTAACTTCATTTTGTGGTCCTGGCCAAAAGAAACAGCTGTCATTTTTTCTTCACATGGTTCATCCCTGGCACTTTGTCATTTCAAAAGTCTCCTTTTCTTCCATTAAACAATTAAAAAAAAAAGTAACTATCAATGTGCTCATTACACTCAAGGAATTTCTTCAGTTCCTATTACTTTAATGAAACTGTGAAAACTGTTACTCTAAAGCACAGACGTTTGCATAGCTTTCAAAGTATAACTGCACCAGTTCTGAAGCAAAAGGAAAATGTCTACTTCTTCCATTTATATGGCCAACAATAACTTCTACATTCTGACAGAATCATGTGTATACTGGCGGGGAAGGTAGTTTCAAAATACTTTATCAGGAAGTCCACAATTCAGTAAAACGCAGGCTCCCCAGACACTGATGTGAACTGATGCACAGGCTTCTTTTTTTCCAAACTTCATAGCTGCTCTTTTGTTTTTTAAACACAGTTACAGTTATTTTCTCCACCAAGAACAACACTTATATTTTACAGTGCAGATGACTATAATACATGTGAACAATAACGAAACAATTCTCTTGAAGGAGAGAAATGTTTTTCCATCTGAAAAGAACTCAATACAGCAAACCACTGCATTTGTAACAAAAGTACTCACCTACTTCAGAAGATTCAAGGCACAGGAACCAGTTCATTATCTCATTTACATTATACTGAAAAATACTCTAGTGGAAGGTATCCTGTGCTCCGCTTCATAACAATTTCGTAGTCTCTTAAGGACATTTACCTGAAAACAAATTGCATCTCCTACTTTTGGACGGGGAACTCTGTAGAATTTAGAGAGACAAGTAATCCCTTTCACATCTACTACCCCTATAGCTATTCAAATTAGAAAATGTTACGTGACAGTGAAGGTGAATCTACAACATATGACAGAACAAGCACGACCACATTCTTCTCACCAACTTTTAATCTGCGTAAAATCCTGTCTCTCCAAAAAGTAGCAACGAGGAGCCAGAGGAGACAGTTAGGAACAGGCTGAGCGAGAGCGAGCTGGGAAAGCGGGGGGACTGGCATTGTCATGTTCGTAACTGACCAAAACAAAAGAAAGGCAGTTCAAATGCAGCCTAAAGTGACTTAAAACACATTTTTGCTCCTAAATGAACTCCTTCACAAGTACAAAAGAAGTACAAACACAGAGCATATCTAGTGTGATACAGCAATACTAACATGTTAAATATTTCCATTGTATTAAAAAGCCAAACGCAGCTTTTACGCAGGAAAATAATTACTATCTGTGGAGGCTTGAAATACTTTAACTTCTTTATGGTTATGGAAGGCAACTGGCAGAAAAAAAATATTTATATATATTGACTTGTATTTTCAGATGTGTAAATAAAAATAAAGCCTTAATATCTTCAGCTCTAACACAATGGAAAGGGGAAGGAGGAGGGTAGAACATTTCAGATAAGACTAAAAATCTTAACTCGCACAAGGTAATATATTAAAAGCCATATGCAAACAAATTAATAGTCAATGATTAATGACCTACAGTAATATGATCGAAAGGGTAGCAGAACTGTAACAGTCAGGATGCATCCATAATTTTAATAAATAAAATTTCCCTGTCATTAAAACAGTTACCCATCTATAGGTCAGAAGGTGGATGCTGTAACTATTTTAATTTTTATATAGCTGATTAAAAATTCAATTTAAAAAATACATGAAGCAACACTGTAAAAAGCAGCTCTCAAACACTGAGTGTTTTCAATGATCTTGCCCAAAGTAAAGAGCAGTAGCCCAAAATTCACTCCCTGTTAAGTTCATCCTATTTTACCTCATCCTATCTTAAACAACATCCTGGACAGGCTTTCAGAGCTAAGACTACTGAAAAGAGCCAATGATTACCGCTGTCTTCTGAAACCACGGACTTATGTCTCAGTACTCTGGTACTAACTTTCGTCTTTTCGTTTTCGACTCTGACAAATGAACATAGGGAAAAATCCTTTAAGACGCTTTTGCAAGATTTCATAAAGCAAAGCTCCCTTTTGCGTGCAGCTGACCTCAGCAGTTGGAAAACGTGCATCCTCTCCCCTCTCCATAAGTAACATTCATAATCATTTCTTTTAAAAAAATGTAAAATTTCGACATGAGCCAGTACAACCAAGCTATCTGCAGCCTCAGAAGTTAGATATCTTTTAGCTCCAGGCTGAAATATTCTTTAAAGCATCTGACAAATCAGGAGCACGAAAACACATGGAAACAAGCTCACTGCTTCCCCCCTGTCCCCAGCCCGACAGTACAGTGTCTTGGCTACACACAGAAAGGGAAAAAAATGTCATATAGTGGCAGGTGAAACTTTTTGATGAGTATGTTTCTTTCCACAAAATGAAGACTTGCAGTCAGCCCAGTGCAGTACTTCACCAGTCAAGATAAAGACTTCTGATTACGCAAGTATCTTTACGACTGAAAAAACCCATCTGTTTAAATATCGTTCAAGGTTTTACATGTTGCAAACTACAAAATCGTGTACTATCACAGCTTGGATCTGGGTTTCTAAGAGTCCACATAATTTACAACAACAAATAACTTATCTTTTTAACAACTTTACTTCCTATCTGCCAAAATCCAGTTATTTACAACTGTTCCATATCTTAATTTCATCAGCAGTATTACAATCTCAGCAGTCCACCTCTCTGTGTTAGCACTGAAAGATGATAATACAAAATATTTATTTAAACAAGCATATGTGACAACAGGAAGCTTAGCTTTTGTTGCTGAAGGACTGAGAAATACAGGTCTCTAATGACTTCTGAAGTAATATTAGAAATGCATTTCTTGACTCAGCAGGACTTTCACTCCTTTCAATACGGCATGTGTTTTTTATTTATCTATCTAACTCACCTCTGCATGTTTTACAAATCAGAAATAATAACAGTTCCGTCACTAATACTTCCTCCTCTTTCCCCCTCATCACCACTATACACATATTCTAAGAAACCAGCTAAAAGATGCATGTAGATATTACCAGATATTTTGACTGATTACTTACATCATGCTTTGCAATTCAGGCGTAAAGCTTGTCGATTTTCTTCCACCACTTGAAGAGGCAATCGTTGACATCGGGCTAGCCACAGTGCTGCTCATCTGAGGAAACAAAGAAATAACAGCACTTGAAATATTTGTTTTTTTTTTTTTAAGAGAGCATATGTATGCTTCACACTAGATATTCAAAAGGGAAGAAGAGTTTTTCAGGGTAGACTCAAATGCAAAGACCCTGCATGCAAAAAGAAGCCTGTCTGAGACACTGTAGAAAACATAAGAGAGTTGATATGTACCGTAACCAAAGTAATGGAAAGGTGTGCTATTTTTAAAAATATCATCTCAACAACCCATTTAGAGGTACCCGAGGAGCACCAATGGATAAGTATTAAGATAAAAAAACTGTTATTCTGGAATACATAGTATTCCCAGACACCACTATTTTGATATCCAAAATGTCCTTTTATATTCCTGTGGTATCCTAAGCACTAGTAAATCACATCCATACCTTCCCCACTGAGACCAAGAGGAATAAAATAGAATGTCAGAAAAATCCAGATAACACTTAATGAGCACCAAGATCACAGGCCTCCATTCTAAAACACCAGCTTTACAGGTAATAGCAATAATTTTAGGTAATAGATACACCTATTACCTAAGTCTTCAAAACAGAAACACGTTAGAAGAGCAAGACATGAGCATCATCATAACATTTATATGACTAAAGGTACTATCTTTACACAAATCATATAGAAAAGCCATCAAACAAATTTCTCATTAAAAACTCCAAACCCGGGACAGTTCTACTTTTACTCTATAAATTAACTAACACATCTACGTTTTCCTCTTTAACAAAAGGCAAGACGAATGCCTTTAAGCAATTTCATTTTTAAAAAAAATTCATTTACTGAAACACTGACAAATCAATGTTTATCTAATTACGGAAAACTCTATAAATATAGAAAATACAGGGAGTTTCATTTTTCCCCTTCACGACATTTTTTAACAAAGGACTGCATACACTATGCAAGCCTCCTGATAAAATAGAATACATTCCCACTGCATTTCTTCCTCTTCTAGTTTGCTGCACACTACTAACAGTCAAGTTGCACTGCTCATTTCTTGTACTATTAGTAGCAGCAGTAGTAATGACAATGAAAACCATATGTTAACATAGTTTGCTTTGCTGTAAGACCTCTAAAGAGATCCTACCCTCCTCCACTTTCGAATTTTATAGGTAAGATAGATTTCTTCTCTAAAAAACTATCTGAAAGTACATGACCAGCTTTGTACTAAATGATATTAAAAGCATTGCAATCAATCAATCACAAACATTATGTGTTAGTCTAAGAAAACTTTATATTCTAAATACAAAGTGTAAGATACTTTCAAAAAGTAACAAAAGAATTAGTGTTTTGAAAGGCTAACAACATAACAGTGTAAAGATGAACAACAAAAATAAGTTTATGCATTTAGACACAAAGTTCATTTTTATTATCAATGCTTTCAAGTAGACTTTCAGACTTCTGTTCATCTTCAGGCAGATTCTAATTTAGGTCCCCATCCTCCAAGCACTTATGCACATGTGTAACTTTAATCACAAGTTTACTCCCACTGAAGTCTGATTTTAATCATATGAATGGTTACACACCAGGCTTAAGTGCTGGCAGGATCCTGCCATAATCAGCAGCCACCGAAGAGCCATATAATCTAAACAGTCAAATTAGTGAGTTGAAAAAAAAAAGTAAAAAACATCTATAATATGAAGGGAGGTGAAAGAGTACTTCTAGAAAAGCGCTATGTACACATCGAAGGGAGTGAAGAGGAAGCTGCAATGGTATCCAGGAATAGCCCAAAGATTTGGAAATGTGTATGTTTTACCGTTTACCCATTTGATTGGGACTGACTGTGATTCATTTTGGTAGCTATATATTTAAATCCTATATCACAGTATCAATGTTCCTAAATATTAATTAATACACTGTAAATTCTGTATTTCACCCAGACCCTAGAGAAAGCAGTTAGGAGAACGCCTCAGTTCATACTTTCTAAAACAGCTGTAGAAGAAGTCTTGAAACATACCAATTGTATATGCCTTGAAGTTTATAAACTGAACATACAAAGACTTAAGTTTTTTTTAAATTTGGGTTTTTGCTTTATCCATGAGGTTCTGTTCCACTAATTTATGAAGTATTCTCCCAAAAATTCCCCAAAAACATGGGACACAATTCCACAGTTGCCTCCTCACAACATAACATTTGTGATTCAAGCATGTACTTCTTAAGGTTCCTGCCCTCCAAGTGGACAAGAACAGTTTAATTAAAAAAAAAAAAAAGACTTGGAGGGCTGTACATCTGTGTAAGTATCAGTAGGTTTGAGAGCTGAAAGCTTATCAACTACTGCTTCACTACAAACTTAGTCTTCCTATTACAACCAAATGATTTAACTTTCAAATCAAGCAGGTGTACAGCATTTTCTTGACATAAAAAAACAACAGCTTGTCAGGCTTCGTCAGACCCTTTACAATAATTACTTCCACAGCCTACATTTTGTTTGATGGTTTAGATAATTAACTTCTTTACACATCAAAGTCCCATCATCCGTATGTTCTATTTCCTTTCTTCCGGACAAAAAAAAAAAAAAAAAAAAAAAATTATTTAAAAGCAGAAGCACTCTCAAATCAATTTTCTTCTAGAAGTACAGCTAACGTGTAACTGAAAAGCCTACTGTAATCTTCAATGGGTCAATATACTGTATTTGTTTTAGTTCTGAACTGAAATGCAGCTGTTTGCCATACTCTACAAAATGAATTCAGATGTTCAGATTAGGTCACAGATTATTTCAACATGCTGTAATTTAATCATAAACTCTAGCAAGAAGATAACTTCTGATTAACACTATTTGGACTAGTAATTACGAGTTCCTATCCAAACAGGCCCAGCTTTTAAAAGTTCTTTTCCTATAAAATATTGCAATCAAATGTATAATAAAAAATATACATTAAAGGTTATATATAATCATTAGTACAAAAATTTAGAAGTATCTACTGTAATCTCAATGTCTTTCACATTAGAGAGTCAGAACAGAACAGAGTGCTTGTTCGATATGAATCAGCACAGCAAAAGAGTTCTCAGCTCTTGTCAAGTTTAGGCCCACCCTTCTTACGAAGGTAAGACACCTGGGCAGACCTTCATTTCATAGCCATCCTTCATATCCATATCCACTCTGAAATTACCAGGCAATACTGACTCACACTGATGCTTGTACAATCAACAAGTGCTCCATATAACCCATCTGTCTACTGAAGATCCAGTTGAGAGACAGATAAGAATTGAAATTCTACTGCTCTTAAAACTTGAATTTAATATGCAGGCTACACATTTAGCCCATAACCGCAGAGCACCAAATCTCCGAGCTATTTCATATCATTTGGGACATATATAAGCAGTTTTAAAATATATGTACATACACACAGCCAACACCTCCGCCTTTTGAAGTACTACTCAAATACTATCACCAACCACCACCAGCAAAATGTCCCATGTGGGAAGAAAGGTGCATCCAGTCACTACAGCACTGTCCTCCAATACATCTGTTCAATAGTCGATCTAAACTCAATCAGGAAAAGCAAACATTAATATTACTACAGCTTTCACTTCACAAAAAAAAAAAAAGACATACACCTAAACTGGGTCAGTTTAAAACACAAAAGTGGAGTCTCATGGCTTTTATCTGATGTCTCTGTTATAGGCTAAAGAAGGTGCAGAATTACCCAAGAAAGCAGTGCCCTGCATAAATTTTTACATTTAAGAACACATTAGAGTAGAATTTACTATTATAATGACTTAATTCATCAAACATACATCTAATGTGCTTACTGCATCAGTCCTCTTTTGTTGCCTTTCATAAATACATTTTGCATATAACCTGAAACTATGCAAAAATCTAAAGACTGACATATTTTCATTTATATAACCCAACCAAAACAGGATGGAAATAAAAGCCAATATGACTATGAATTAACACAAAATTAAAATTAGTGCTTTTGTTTTCATACCCTCTACTTGAGAGTAATTAGATTAACTAGTTTGTTACTACTGAGTATTTTACTGCATGTGTGGCCTCACCAGCAGACAAGATACTGTAAGATACAGTCTTCTAGGACTGGAGATGTAAGAACTTAATTAACTACAGGAAATACAGATTTCTGTTAGTGCACTTCTTTTAAAAAAAAACAAAAACACAACCATAAACCCTGCTGAACACGTGCAAGGCCGGCTTTCTAAGTGTATGCTTAAAATTATTAAAAAAGAAAGTTAAAAAAATCAGTAACCCATAACCAAATACTGGAGTACATGTATTATTGTACTGATCAGCCACTCTCCCAGTAGCATGGAATAACTGAAAATTAAAACACTACGTACGAAGTCCTTAAGTTCTCCTGAGCTGTTCAAGCAGGCTGGAACCAGAAACCCTCCAAAGGCTCTCAGACAAGCACAATGCATGGATGACCCAGATTTTACAAGAAATTATTCAAAATGTATAGTGAAACTTCTTTATCATCTTCTAATCTGTTCAGATCCAAAAAATCAGCCTCCTGTGTAATAATTAAGAAGTGGCTTTGCTTATAGGCAACAAGAGTAACTTCCATGTTCCCTAAATGTGGCCTCTTAAAAGCCAAGCAGATAAAGCAAAGGCACAAACTTTCCAGTACAGCCAGACCGAATCCAGGGTTAGAAGCAATGTGTGGACAGGCAGCAACACATCTGCGTCAGGGCTGCACACAATAATGTTGTTCAAAGCTAGGGATGCAATCTCAGCTTTCTTTCATTTTTAATTAATTAACAGAGTATCATGAACTGGAATGCAGGCACTATTCATGCTAAGGATAATACATTTCATCTGCTACTGCTGCTTCCATTTATTACCTGAAAGACTAGATGCTTATTCTATTTTAAAGTGAATACCAGAAAGAAACACTCATATTATAGCTGTCAATGCACAGCCCAGCTTTCACCACCCAGACAAATAAGCATCCCGTCTTTAACCACGACACTCTCGGAATGAAACATGCTTGGAAAGCCCCCACAAATATAAGGAATAGAA